TTTACAATCCCTGGTGCGACCTCGTTTTGGCTCTCTGCCTCACTAGCGGCTTGGGACGCGGTTCTGGCAGCATGGCGTGCGGCGCGTTGGGCAGCTGAGGTTGTCGGTGCGGCGTTCCTGGCATTCCTGGGAGGCATCCTGCGTCAATGAAAATGGGTATCAGGTCTGGTTAAGGTCCAGGTGGTTTGCTTACCGGGCGGGCGAGGAGTTTCGGTCCGAGGGGTGCATACGAGTTAGGAAAACATCTTTTCAAAACAAAACAAATTCCCCTTTTTTTTTTTTTTTTTTAATAACAAAACTCGACCTTACTCCTCCCTAACCCCCTNTAATTCATTCCCAACTTGAAATAACGAAAAGAAAACGATCATCCAAGAGTTTAAAAGACCTCAAACAACTAGAAGAAATTCTGGAAAAATAAAGAAAACGAAAGTTGAAATGCTTGCACCACTCGAACTCCTACTCCTGCTCCCTCCCAGCCATACCTGAAAAGAGGAGGGGTGAGTACATACGACTCAGTGAGGGCAGGTTCTGGGAACCCACGAACTCAACTCAAGAAGAACAATCAGTCAACACAGTCATAAGTTAATAAGATGTATTATGCAACAGACAGGACTGACTCGATAGCTAGCACCTAGACCTCTAGGACCTATGGCCGTTTACGGATGTCCCACACACGTTCCGGCCTATCCTGGAAGGGGTGCCCACTCAGGAGAAACCATTTCCCCCCTCCAGCTTCCTAGTAACCACCCGCGGGGAGCTCGTTGGTCCACGTGCGTCACCCGTAGGCCCACATACAAAACTGTCTTCCCGCGGCTCCCGTCCGTTCACGGTCAGATGGTCACAATTTGCCACGACTCGGCATTGACTCGATCTTAAGGCGCCTATTCCTAACTTTACCCCGCCTTGGCGGTCAGTACCGTCCTTTCACGGTCTTTCACTTTCCGCCCACGGGAACGTCCTCCGTTGGGCCAACACATCCTAGACTCTAGACGCCCACCCGTTCTCGGTGGCCCAATCAGGACTTAGAACACGTTCATTAACACTACTCCATTCTCGTTCACATCCTCATCCTCTTTCTTATACTCATACTTATTCTCATTCACTTTCTCATCCTCTTTCTTATACTCATACTCATTCTCATTCACTTTCTCATCCGTCTAATCTTAGACTCAAACTCAACTTTACATTCATACTATCATATCACTTCACATCGGTTCATTCTCATTCTATCAGTTCTAAGCGTTCATCACATCAACACATAGCACACTTCTCATTCAACCTAGACTATCACATACACTTCATTCACACAACAAGATCTAGATCACATTAACAAATGATTATGCCCCCTTGGATTACTCAACATGAGGCAAGTTCACATCCAAGTCCTCACCTTAGCTTGTTTGGTGACGTAGATCTGGGTCTGGGAATAAGAAGAAAGGGTCCAACAACGCAGATCTGGTTTTCCCGACACAAGAGTGAGAAGAAGGGGGTTTAGGTTTCAGATCTGTCACTCTTAGAATGAGAGGAGATTAGGGTTCCAGCCTTTACCTTACAGATTGGTTCTTAGATGGTTACACGCTACGGAATCACGAAGACGACGACTCGGGGCTCGGGTCCGGCGGCTAGGGCTTCTCGCGCGGCGGCTCCTGGCGGTAGGCGGCGGCGGCTGGTCGACGGCATGAGGCGAGGGCGGCGGCGGGGTCTTGTTCCGGCAGGGCTTCGCTTGCTCACTCTCTTGTGTCTCAACCCTAGGGAGGCAACTCCTTTTATAAGGTGTGAGGGGGGTTTGACCTAGGATTCCCTCTTCTTGGGCCTCTTGCAAATGGGTCTCAAGTTGGACCGGGCCCGGATTGCTACACTTGGTGTATCACAATTTATCTTGTAAAAGAAGTGTTTATTCGCCATGTGCTTACTTGCTTTTTTTTTTTTGAAAATCCTAACCACCCTTCAACTTTAATAATTGATATAGCTTAAATCCTAGAAATATCAAACTTTTCCAAATAATAAAATGAATATGTAAGTTTTCCTTGTCCACAAAATAAAACACTATGTATACGAACCAAAATATATATATATATATATATATATATTGTACCAAAAGTTATATATATGATTTTATTTACATGTATGCGAATTTTATATAAACATTATCCCAACTAACCATATGAGCTCTTACTAATTGACCAGTCTATAGCCTTTTTGGCTAAAAGATATACATGATAATCGATGGGCAGCCTAAAATCTGAGAACGTTTGAAGAAATCAAAGTATCAAAAATAAGTACAATTTTTCTGCATATTCTTTTTTTTTTTTTGAAAAATATTTTTTCTGCATATTCTTTGGGAAACATACATTATTGTTTCTTTGCACGATTTAATATTTTCGACCTACATTTATGATTGCATTTTCGTAATTATTCCCCGCTTTTATGTTCATCTTTACTTCTGTCTTTTCTTGTCGTGTACATATAGCAAGAATATGCATGTTTGTGTGTTACCGCTTGATTTCCAAAATAATATAATTAACTTTGATCAAAAAAAAAAATAATATAATTAACTTTTAACTGGAAAATCTTAAACTGAAACCATATTAATCTTCAGATCATGTGAATATCCATATTATATTAGCTAGATAAGGTTTCCAGGTACCCAACAAGAAAAGGTACTGAACCTAATCACTAACTAACAGAATAATTTGATTTAGTTTTGAATTGTTTTATATATCCCCCTGTTTTTTATTTGATGTTTTAGAGAATTTTTTTGTTTCAACTTATTTGACGTTTTCAAATTTTTATATAAGATTTATAGATAATTAATATTAGATGGCCAATAATATTACATTACTGAAGCTTAGGGACGTTGCAGCATCTTCTCCGGTCTAAGATTGGTAATGGTAAAACCACCCTGTTTTAATTTGATAATTGGCTTCATGTGGGACGGCTCCTAAATATCGCAGGTCCAATAGGAACATAAGTCTTGGGCATCCATCGTTATGCGACTGTCTCGGTGGCGGCTTCTGGTGGACAATGGAACATTCGTTGATGTCGTGGCTATCACCTACGGGCGATGATAGCATCAACTTTGTTCCAGCTCCGGCGGAGGACGCACATAGGTGATAGCCTGGATCAACCTTGGTGCGGAATTGTTTGGTTTCAACAAAGCATACCTCGGCTTGCTTTCATTACATGGCTAGCCTTTCATGATAGACTGTCTACGGGTGCGCGAAGCCGAGCTTGGGGGTGCATTCAACCGTGTCTCCTTTGTGGTGAACCGGATGAAACTTGCGACCATCTTTTCTTTGCATGCCCTTATTCATTTATGGTATGGATTGATTTCATAGGCTTCATGCTGGGGTCCAGGGTGAATCCCGATTGGAGTATCACCGTCACAACCCTTATATCTTGTCGCAGGAACGAGATAGACACCTGCATCCTCAAGCTTGCTTTCCAAGCTACAATCCATAGTATTTGGCGCGAAAGAAACAGTAGGCGTCACCATGGAAATCCCCTCAGCGCTGGCCAAATGGTCCGTTACATAGATAAGACCATTAGAAACAGAATCTCTTCGCTCCGTCACAGGAAACCAGACTTCTATAGCGCCATGATGCAGCGATGGTTTGCTAGGACATCTTCTTAGCAATCTGAGTTTCTTTATCTCCTTTATGCCTTGTGTTTCTTATTCGAAAGCATAAACTTCAGTGGTATGTATTTTTTCTTTTGTTGATGTTTTAGAAAAATTTAATTATCTATAAATAACTCCCTCTGCTTTTTTATTTGATGTTTTAGAAAAATTCTTTGTTTCAAATTATTTGACATTTTCAAAATTTTATGTAAAATTTATAGATAATTAATGTTAGATGACAAATGATATTATAATTTATGTTTTGTTATTAGCTGAATCATAGTTAGATAAACAATTAATATTGTTTTGGTTTAGAAAAAAATTAGATATTTCTTAATCTTTGTGTATAATACTAAAACTTGAAATATAAAAGAATAAAGGGAACATAATTTAGTAGCCATACTACCTTTAATTTAATTTTAGTCATATAAAGGCATGAATAAAAAATTTATTAAAAATAAATAGATAAAAGTTCAAAAAGGTTAAGATTATTGTTTAAGTTATTGTTTATACCATTTTAGGCTTCAGATTAGCAGCCAATCGTACGACCAGGAAAAAAAGCTGCAATGCCACTGAGTTTGATCCCACATGCTATACTTCTCATAATAGAGATTTCACATGCACTCTATAATTACAGTGGAGAGAAGTGTGAAGCGAGTCGACGTGGTCGTTTACGCCGAGTCACATATATTAGAGGACATTTCTTTATGTCACTAATCAAAGTCGTTGTTGTTAACTTGGTCTATTGTAGTTTAGTTTAATTTGAACTTGGTATCATAACTCGGTTTCATCTTGAAAAACAGCTGTCTAGCTATTGATGGCGAAGGTTTATTATCTCAGCTATTTTAGGACATTTGACTATACTCATTTTCTTTACTTATTTACTTTTTATAATGTTTTATTTACCTTTCTTTCTATATATGTTTTACATCCATTTCTATGACTTTGAAACATGTAGGAACGTTCTGGCACCACATTGTAATATGCATTAACGGAAAATTTGTGGTCCTCTCGTCACCCATAAGTTCCGCGCACCAACAAGTTAAATTTTATATTTCGGGTAATCATTTTTTTCCTTCATAGATACTTTATAGCTTTAAAATTTACATATGTTTTAACATTTACAGAATGTCGATAGAAAATAAATAATACTATCGAAAGTGATTGTGGTGGATGTCATTATGATTAACATAGCTTAACAAGCATCAAATAGTATCATTTATTTTAAAGAATGTCTGATTAATAATTATCAATTAGAATTTTGGATTATTTCAACCGGGTGGTTGAAGATTAGTTTTCTAACACAGTGGAAATTTCCTGATATTTAGTATTTAAATTATAAAAGTAACAAAACCAATAATTGCCAGCTAATAACAAAATAAAAATAACAAAACAATAGAAAAAGAGACGTAGATATTGAATTGGTCCCTATGAACAAAGGCCACCTCAAACGACTACGTTTCTCCACTATAAAACAACTCTTTTCCATGCAGAAACACATTCAATCACTTCTTTCTCATCTTCTTCAAACATTAGACACTTTCTCCATTGTTTCTTCCCTTAATAATTTGGAGAAAATAGCCTTAGTAGCCGGTTAAAATTTTCCGGTGAAAACAATGGCGACTCCGGCATGGAGTCATGCCAAGGGTCCATGGGTAATCGCCATTATGGCGTTACTCGTTGGCTCGGCAATCGCTACTGAACCTTACTATTATAACTCTCCTCCACCACCCTATGAGTATAAATCTCCACCGCCTCCAGTTGCATCTCCTCCACCCCCTTATGAATACAAATCTCCTCCTACTCCAGTTAAGTCGCTTCCACCACCGTATGAGTACAAATCTCCTCCTCCTCCGGTTAAGTCTCCTCCACCTCCTTATTATTACCACTCTCCACCACCACCTGTGAAGTCTCCTCCCCCTCCTTATGTATACCACTCTCCACCACCACCCGTGAAGTCTCCTCCCCCTCCTTATGTCTACCACTCTCCTCCTCCTCCAGTTAAGTCTCCTCCCCCTCCTTATGTCTACCACTCTCCTCCTCCTCCAGTTAAGTCTCCTCCCCCTCCTTATGTCTACCACTCTCCACCACCACCCGTGAAGTCTCCTCCCCCTCCTTATGTCTACAACTCTCCTCCTCCTCCAGTTAAGTCTCCACCACCGTATTACTACCACTCCCCACCTCCTCCAGTGAAGTCTCCACCACCGCCGTATTATTACCATTCCCCACCACCTCCAGTGAAGTCTCCTCCACCACCATACTACTACCATTCCCCACCACCTCCGGTAAAGTCTCCTCCACCACCTTACTACTATCACTCTCCACCTCCTCCAGTGAAGTCTCCTCCACCACCATACTATTATCACTCTCCTCCTCCACCAGTCAAGTCTCCACCACCACCTTACTACTACCACTCTCCTCCTCCTCCAGTCAAGTCTCCTCCACCACCATACTACTACCACTCTCCACCCCCTCCGGTAAAGTCTCCTCCACCACCGTACTACTACCACTCTCCACCCCCTCCGGTAAAGTCTCCTCCACCACCGTACTACTACCACTCTCCACCACCACCGGTAAAATCTCCTCCACCTCCATACTACTACCACTCTCCACCCCCTCCGGTAAAGTCTCCTCCACCACCGTACTACTACCACTCTCCACCACCACCGGTAAAATCTCCTCCACCTCCATACTACTACCACTCTCCACCCCCTCCGGTAAAGTCTCCTCCACCACCATACTATTACTCATCTCCACCACCACCAAAATCTTATCCTCCACCATACTATTACTCATCTCCACCACCACCACCAAAGTCGTACTCCCCACCGTACTACTATTCATCACCACCACCTCCGGTGTCATACCCTCATCCTCACCCACACACACATCCACTTGTCTTCAAAGTTGTTGGTAAGGTGTATTGTTACAGATGTTATGACTGGACATACCCCAAAAAGTCCCACGATAAGAAGCATCTCAAAGGTAACTAAGTCTCCCACGTGTTCAATAATTAATTATAATCTTAGAAAATTCCTTAACTAATTTACATAATCCTATCTTGATGATGATGCTTATAGGACTTAAATAATTAACTAGCAAATAAGTATTGTACAGTACTGGTAGTTGCATGTGATCGAGATTATTTTTATTAGTGGAGAAAAGAAAACGATTAAGTCAAGAAAAAGACAAGAATCTGTTATTGACAAACAATCCAAAGAGATCGAACAAGCAAAATCGATTTTGTAGATATACCAACTAAAAGGACATCAAATGATATTTTAAATTTTACTAATAATTTGTTTTTGTCATATAGGTGCTGTTGTGGAAGTGACTTGCAAGGCCGGTGACAAGACAGTGAAGGCATACGGAAAGACCAAAAACAACGGTAAATACGCAATCACCGTTAAAGGATACAACTACCGTAAATATGGTGGCGAAGTCTGCACTGCCAAGCTTCATGCTCCGCCTAAGGGATCGCCATGTAACATTCCTACAAGTTACCATATGGGTAACAAAGGTGCAAAACTCCATGTGAAATCAAAGACAAAGGACGAGGTTGTGCTATATGCTAAGTCATTTGCTTATGCACCTAAAAAACCTTACGGTGAATGCCACAAACCGGCTCCTTACCATCCTCCATACTACTACAAATCTCCACCACCACCGTCTCCGGTTTACTACTACAAGTCACCACCACCACCGGCTCCAACCTACGTCTACAAGTCTCCACCACCACCAACCCCGGCTTATGTCTACAAATCACCACCTCCACCAACCCCAACCTATGTTTACAAATCACCACCACCACCAACTCCAACTTACGTGTACAAGTCACCACCACCGCCAACTCCGACATACGTTTACAAATCACCACCACCACCAACTCCAACTTACGTGTACAAGTCACCACCACCGCCAACTCCGACGTACGTTTACAAATCACCACCACCACCAACTCCAACTTACGTGTACAAGTCACCACCACCGCCAACTCCGACATACGTTTACAAATCACCACCACCACCGACTCCAACATATGTATATAAGTCTCCACCACCACCAACCCCTACTTATGTCTACAAGTCACCGCCTCCACCAACTCCGACATATGTCTACAAGTCTCCACCACCACCAACCCCTACTTATGTCTACAAGTCACCGCCTCCACCAACTCCAACATATGTCTACAAGTCACCACCACCACCGACTCCAACCTATGTCTACAAATCACCGCCTCCTCCTACTCCGACATACGTCTACAAGTCGCCACCTCCTCCTACTCCAACTTATGTTTACAAATCACCACCCCCTCCAACGCACACTCCTACACCATACTACTACCACTCTCCACCACCACCAGTAAAATCTCCTCCACCTCCATATTATTATCACTCACCACCACCACCCGTCAAATCCCCGCCACCTCCATACTACTACCATTCTCCACCACCTCCGGTGAAATCTCCTCCCCCTCCTTACTACTACCACTCACCACCTCCTCCAGTGAAGTCTCCTCCTCCACCATACTACTATCACTCCCCACCTCCTCCGGTGAAATCTCCTCCTCCACCTTACTACTACCACTCCCCACCTCCTCCGGTGAAGTCTCCTCCTCCTCCTTACTACTACCACTCCCCACCTCCTCCGGTGAAGTCTCCTCCTCCACCTTACTACTATCCCTCTCCACCTCCTCCGGTGAAATCTCCTACTCCACCTTACTACTATCACTCTCCACCTCCTCCGGTGAAGTCACCACCACCACCATATTACTATCACTCCCCTCCCCCTCCGGTGAAATCACCACCACCACCATATTACTATCACTCCCCTCCTCCTCCGGTGAAATCACCTCCACCACCATACTACTACCACTCACCACCACCACCGGTGAAATCACCACCACCACCATACTACTACCACTCACCCCCTCCACCGGTGAAATCACCACCACCACCATACTACTACCACTCTCCACCTCCTCCGGTAAAATCTCCACCGCCACCATACTATTACCATTCACCACCTCCTCCTGTCAAGTCACCACCACCACCTTACTACTACCAATCACCTCCCCCACCAGTGAAATCACCTCCACCACCTTACTACTACCACTCACCACCACCACCTGTGAAATCTCCTCCTCCACCTTACTACTACCATTCACCACCCCCTCCAGTCAAATCTCCTCCTCCACCTTACTACTACCATTCACCACCTCCTCCGGTGAAATCCCCACCACCACCATACTATTACAACTCTCCACCACCACCAGTAAAATCTCCCCCACCTCCAGTCTACATCTACGCTTCTCCCCCACCTCCTATCCATTACTAGGCTCATCAAATTCAACAAAATTTCCTCATTATTCAAGTAAGTCCCAACGCTCCAACACTTTCAAATATTCACCATATCCATTTTGATACAACTTTTGTCCTAAAATCTCAGTTTTATCTACAGGTTTTCTTTTTAAAAATGAAATAAAGGAAGGGTTAAAGTCAAAGATGAGAAGAAGTGAACCAAATAAGGATCGTCTCGTGGAAACCATGAACAATACATCTCCAACAATGATCCACATCACTTCCTCTTCTTCATTGTCGCTCATCTTCCACTCCTGCATCATCATCTTCGCGTCTTCATCAAGTCGGATTGTTTCAAAAACCCTTTTAGATCGTATACTACTCTTCCTTGTAAGCTTTTGTTATCGTTATTTATTTGTTGTGCATACATTTTCTAAATATTTTTTACATTAATGTAATGAGTGAGGTGTTAGCAGATAAAAAATGTTCAGTTTCGTGTTTCTTAAGACTGTTCGTTTTAATGTTATTTTTATATTTTTGAAAATTCAAATTTGAAAGACAGTTCGATGAGTTGGTCATACGACATATCGTTTATATATGTTGGTACAGGCAGAAAGTGAGCCTTGCTTCAAACGTTGGAAAGTGAAAGTAAAAACATGACAACAATCTTTGCGATCTTATTGGCATATTAGTTAATTGTGTTTATGGAGTTAGTCAGAGAATCACTTTCGTTCAACTAAATTCTACCTGTTTTTTTGTCGACATTGACTATTGAACAATACAATTTGTGAAAAACACAGTTGAATAACAATTTTGAAATGAATTGATAATTTGAATTACAAAATTTAACCGAATATAGTTTCTATACTTTGTTAAGCAAACCAAAACACATGAGAACCGGGGCTAAAAGCACACGTGAGGTGGTTGTAATTTGGGCTTTTTGATATTAATAGCTGAGTTGAGGTCCAATAACTAAACGTATTTGCCCACGGGTTTTTGTCACCATCATTTTTTTTTTTGTGGGTGGGGAATATGATACATTTATCAGTTTTTGTTTCTTTTTTATAAAGGGATTCTTTACATTTATCAATTTTTTTGGGTAAAACTCTATCAATTTAAGTGAAACGATCAACTTTTCCATTGATTTGAACCAGTGTTCTAAGAGATCAGTATATGGTTTTTGGATGGCAAATTGATCATAAAAAAAATAATTTTTTTTTTTTTTTTTTTTTTGGAAATAGCCACGCTTAAGACTTAAGTACTATTACAGTTAAAAATATTTAATTATTACCTAACAAACTTTTGAATATTGATTTCAACAGTAATTAAATATGTTATATGTATATGGTTTAATCTTATTAGGAAAAATAAAAATAAGCATATCTTTCGATTTTGAAATATTATATTTGGGTAAAATACGGTATTGGCACTTGAGATTTAGCTATAAAACGTGCTCAGAAAAAAAGTACAGTAGCAGCTCTATAAATTAATAATATTGGGACTTAAAATTTTTATTAATTTATAGAGATATTAATTTACAAAAGTTTCCTTATTAAGATTTTTATTTTAAAATATTTTTTTCTAAAATAAGAAAATATTTGATTTTAGTTTGTAGGCATTAATTATTATTTTTAAAAAGTTTGACATTTATATAGATTTTAATATATTATTTTGAGTATATAATATATATTTCATACAGTTTAAATGTGGTTTTAGACATAATACTACCAAATATCATCAAAAATATAATAAATGTTAAGAAAATATAAAGAGAATTCCATTGTGAATATAAAACAACCATTATAATGATATGTTCTTACTTATATAAAATATATATACATATAATTATTAATTTATAATTTTAATGGGACCATATATTTACATAGAAATTTCTAAAAAAAATATTATTTTATTATTTTATCGATTTGTGTAAAATTTTGAACCGATCCAAGTTGGGTCCGACAAAATCTATACTATTAAAATAGAATCCCTCATAGGATTATGTCCTTAGTTTTTTAGATATTTACAATGGTATGCCACTACTATAAATAATAAAATCAATTATTTCAATATTAGTTACCATACATTCCAACTGGTTCGGTAATACTGAATAATATGTATATTTTCAAGATATTCTAAAAAGAACCAAAGGGGCATAATTATAACAAACCGGATCTCACACGATCTTCTCTTTTTCTCCTTGGACCAACTCGCGAATTAGCACCATGAACTCAACACAGACACTTTATTCCAGCAGAATACTTTAATAGTTTATGAAATTTCAGTTTGGGGCTACTTTAATGGTCTACACTTTAGGACTACTTTAATACATTACAATTTTGAATAAGGTATTAATTTTTATATGGTAACAATATATCATTATAAAATATTTTTTCAAAAGAACATACATTTTATTGCTATAAAAACTTTTTCAAAAAATAAATAAATAGCATATCGAAAATTAGTAACTATCAATAAACTAAATGATAGTAATTCTAAGTAGTGATAACAATCACATATTTACATATAAATATATAAAAATGATATCAAACACGGGTCAGACAATTTACTTAACAAATCGAAAATGAGTAATAAAATAGTTGTTTGACGAAAAAAAACTAATTGAAACTGAGCTTAATTTAATTAACTCATAAGCTCAAATACAATTAAAATAATTTATTAATAAAGCCAAATAATAGTTAATCCATAAATATAAGAAAATATATTTTAAAAGTTTAATCAAAATTTAAATTGAAAAAATCTCGCGCTTTAAAAGCGCGGGTCAAAATCTAGTTTATTAATTTATAGTAACTATTAATTTATCTAGTATTAATTTATAGAGGTTCTAATGTAGTAATTTTGTTAATCTAAAAAAACGAAAATGAAGAAGAAACTGTTGTGACCTTGAATAAGAGCGCTCCTTCCATAATATTCTGCGTGTTAATCGCACTTTCTTATCCTTTTTATTTCCACTTTTTACTTTCTATTTTCTTAATTTTGATTAACTTATTTTTATTTAGTGAATGTTCTTGTAACATCCCGGTTTGTGGTATATGGAAAGGCTTAAGAGAATTGATTTGGCTACCTATGTCACCAAAGTGCACTTACCTTTTCGGGAGCACATCCAGAGAGAACTTCAGAGTTAAGCGTGCTTGAGCTGGAGTAGTCAAAGGATGGGTGACCTATCGGGAAGTGATTTGCGATACCGTGTAAGTGAGGCCAAAGCACGGGGAAAGGTCATGTGGTGATTGCAGGGTCAGTAAACATGACTCTAGAGCCTTGGAAAATTAACGGACCGACCGTTGGAACGGGATGGGCCCACGGGCCGAGAGAGCGGACGTGGGTGGCCCATTAGCTATGGGCGGTCGGGGCGTTACAGTTCTCTTCTTGCTGCTGCTGTTGTGTTTCTTCTCTCTCTAAACCCAAAATTTTAGAGAAAGGATTGATTGATTGATTTCAAGTGGTAATAGCTGAAACACAGGAAAGGAAGGAAGAAACCATTCTCCACCTGACGATCACGATCTCTTGATTCCTTAATCGCTCTGTATCAGCGCTTCTTCTTCTTTCTCCTTTGTGCCTCACATATCCGACAATTTGAATCTTGTCAAGTTTACATTTCCGCAGGTTCGATCCAGATGTTTTGAAGATTAGCTTCCTGTTTTCAGAGGTGGAGCTATTAATAATCTAAGGGGGTTAGCTGACCCCAGTAAAATTACTAATTTCTTTATTAATTATAGCAATTTTCTTTAAATGACCCCTAATTAATTCGTGTCCAACCCTAATTATATTTTTAATTTCCTACTCCCACCGTTTCAAAATAATGTATATTCTAGAGTTTTCATATTTATTAAGAAAACACGTCAATTTTTGACAATAAATGTATTATTTTCTGTGTTTAGCTATTTTCTATTATTTTTAACCGGTCAAAATTCAGTAAAAATAATTAATATATTTGAAGTTTGCAATTTACCATTATTATTTACATTGAAAATGTAAAACATAGATCTTTTAGAAACAATTTTTTTTTCTAAAATATGAATCATTCTAAAACGGAGGGAATATATCTTGAGAAAAAGAAACACTTTTCTTTCATTCTTTCATGACAAAAAGGGAAGTATAATAATTTAATACCTCAGCTTACTGGTTTTATGTGTAGTATATTAACTATCGCATCTCTTATTAATTGCAAAATAAAATTGTATCCATTTTCAGATTCTCAACATGTACATAAATGATAAGTTTTGAGTTTTCTTATAAATTTTAGTGAATTAAAATTCATAAACACAAGTGATGCTTTTGAAGTTTACAGTTATCATGCATCAAAAATGTAAAATATATATATCTTTTAGAATGAATTTTGTTTCTAAAACATAGATCATTTTGAGATTGAAAGAGTATATTTTTCTTTTTCAAAATCTAGATTTGAAAGATATATCTTTACTAAAATGTTAGCTGTTTTTAAATGATAAAACTAATTTTCATAAATTTAATTTAAATTCATATAAAATTATGCATAAATAATTTATTGTATTTTGTTTTCTTTTATTTTAAATATATTATTTAATTAATTTAAAATAAATTATGACCCCGGTAAAATATAATCCTGGCTCCGCCACTGCCTGTTTCAGTTTAGGATTCATTAGATCTATTTGATAGTGTTTTAAGGTTGAATCTGAAACGAAGCAACGATGGATCATGGCCGCGTCGTTTATCCGATTGTGTTATTATTGAATTCTTCTTTGTTTGCATATCCGTTCTTTGTGTATTGTTCTAACATGGCCACGTCAGTTTTTGCTGGTTTATTTGTGGTCGTTACTCAATTTTACAATCTGATGCATTTTATTCTTTGGTTAGTGTTATTTGATTCGTGTTCCATTTACTTCAATTGTGAATGAACTTTGTTTGTTTCTTTTTTTTTCGTTCTCTCTTCTTCTACCCTTTTGTGCTGCTGATATAAGGCTTTGTTTGATACAGTCAACATCAAAAACTGAAGTTTGCACCCGACTTGGTGGAGGGTATTTGTTCAAGAGTTACTTATTCCTGGAACACATACCAAGATTAAGAAAGTCTTTGGTCAAACTGTCAGAGACCTGTAAGAACTATAGTGTTTGGAACTGAATGAATATTTTAAGGCCATTACTGTGTGGTTTATTAACTTTTGTATTAACCATGCTTGTTTTTATGTTTTTAATCTTTTTTTAGCAAGAGAGAGGTCAACACGAAAGTTCTTAATGTGCCTGGAATAGAACAGAAGGTAAAAGGATACTCTTTACTTCTTTTTCATTGAAATTCTGCCGAAACTGATGTTTAGGAGCTGGTTTCTTGGTTTAAAATGGCGACCGCTCTAGTCGCCATGGCGAGTGGCGAGTGATGGCGAGCTCCAAAACGCAATACTACCTTGTGGCCAAGCGAGGTACGTATGTCGAACGCTTTTGCTCGCTTTACCTACATACAACGTGTCGACCAAAGCGTCGCCTTGTGGTTAGGGAACAACCTAAACTGGTTTGACATAATATTTGTATCTAAACCGAATATGGTTATGTAAAAGAGGCAATATCGTGGGCAATACTCAAAATATACTCAAAATATTCTCTAAATATTCTCTAACAGATCCCTAAACAAGTAAAAACCCTAAGTCATTGTACTATATAATAGGTTGCACAGCCCCTGTAGTTTTTCACGCTTTCTCCTCAACTCTATACACAGCATAAGCTTTCTTTTCCTTTACCGGTTTGTTTTGTTTAGTTTTTCATCATA